GCCACGGCCGTGTCTTTCCTCTCCAGCTCCATCACTTTTACCCTCCAGCATCCCCAAACTTTTACGTTTTGAGTTTTTTGCCTTGCCGAGCAATTTTGCGCAGCGACATTTTCCAATCCCAGATTATTCTAATGACACTGCCAAAGAGCTAAAAATAGGAGAAAGGCATTTTCTGCCTCTCCCCCCCACCAGCCGCTGATGGGAGCACGGGGACGGCGCCGGCAGCAGGAGCCTCCGAGGTGTTTGCAGAGAGCGTTTAGAGAGTATCACACCTCCCCTTTCCCTTCCCAGTCGTGGATCTTTAAATATCTGGCCCAAATCCACACAAGCCTGGAGCTGCTTAACTCTTTCTTTGCATTCAAATTGAAAAATTAGGCACCGAAATTGGGCTGGCGGAGGGTAGGAAACCACCCTGGGAGCTCTCTGCCACGGATGGCACCATGAGGAGGGATCTGGGAGTACAGGAAAGGGGATGGAAGTGACAGCAGCTGCTGCTTCCCCAAACGTGGCTTTTTTGGAGCTGCTTCCTCCCCGCTGCACGCCTGGCTGTCGGATTTACCTCTGCCTGATGGTGCCTTGCTCACACACTCCTACCCCACGCTGGGGTGGGAGCGGTGGATGAGGCAGAGCCCGGAGCCCCTCCAGGACACCCCAGCGGGCACAGCCGTGGGGAATTTCCTTTCGGGGCAACGCTCAGCGCAGCACATGCCGGGTTATTTCTCCGTTTTGTTGTTATTTAAGGCACGACATGGGATCCTGTGCTCACCGAGGGTGGCCAGAGCTTGGGAATCCACCGTGTGGCCAATGTGACTCCACGGGGCCTTGCCAGCCCTCAGAGGCCACCACATGTCGGTGGGGTCGAGCCCGCGCTGCTGGTGGAAGCAAAATGTGCAGCTGCTGCTGAAGCACGTGCAGAAAACTGTCACCAACGTCTTCACCCCCAGTTTCAAGCCACATCCCCAGAGCCTGTGCTGGGAACGGGTCTGCACATCACCCTGGGCATGAAAACTGGTCCCAGGATGCAGGCAGGGATGCATGAGGTGAGCTGGGGAGCAGCCAGCCAGCCCCCTCAGAGGACATAACGGCGCTTTATTTCCCCTTGGGACAGCACAAGTCCCACTCAGAGGCAAATTAACCCCCACACCAAGGCCCTCGGGCCAGGATCCTGCTGAAGCTGAGCTGGAGGACCAAGCTTCGGAGGTGGGAGGAGAAGTGGCCGATTCCTGCCGCCACGGAGGGGAACAGAAAGGCGGGGGAGGCAGCGGCTGCCCCTGCCACACGCCGGGGATTGCACTGGAGCTGAGCAGCTCGGCCCCGGCCGCGAGACACATGAGTCAGAGGTTTTGGGCACAATGGGAAGCGCGGGCTCAGCAGCGACGGGGACACGCCGGGATGGGGACACGCCACCACGGGGACGTGCCGAGATGGGGCCTCAAGGCTCCCGAGTGCTGCATCACCGTGAGCAAAACCTTTCCGGGACCAGGCAGCAGCGGGGAAAAAATGTGGCTTTTGGCTGCCTGGTTGCGGCGAGAGGAAGGAAATTGGTGAACTCACGGCAGCCCACGTGGAGAGGGCCACGCCACGTGGCTCCC